TCCGCAGATCTTTCCAGCATTATTTGGCAGAAAGCAACACGCTTTGGATAGTCTGCGTCGTTAAGTTGTTGAACACGCTGAATATGAAACGCGTGATATACCTCTGGAAAAAAATTATTAGTATTTTTATTGTAGCTTGTCATTGTACACAATACTAGAGGTACGTGCCGATAGAGCACGTGAACGTAAAACTAAAAGTTGGGATTCGTTAGAGTGGCGTCCTAGCGCCTATTTTTGAATTACGAGCGCTTGTTTAAGGGTCTCTACATCTCTCTTTTACACGCACACACAACACATTAGACATCGACAATTCACAGTAAATTAAATGAGTGTGATTTGAAATGGCAGTGCAGCAATGTGTTGGGATTTTGAATAAAGAGGTCTACAAAATAATAAAATGCACTCACCTGATTTCAGTATTCTTAAAACTGAAGTCCTTGGGATTCCAGTCCTTCTCGTAATCGCTCGTGAACTAGTATAAGGGTCTCTTTCTACTTCTTCAATGATTACATCTCTTCTTTCTGGATCCACTCTGGGTAGTCCCTCGCGACGTTGATTACGCCCAGGAACGCGTCCACCCATCAGGGTTTCGTGGGTGTTATTAAAAACCCTGTAGCCCGGGTAATGCTCTAACACTTCTCCTCGCCGCTCCAGTTGCTCTCGATAAAGCCGTGCCGCTAATGCGCCGTTTCCTTGGGCAACGCCGTAGAAATAGTGCATCTCTGCGTATTGACTGAGAGAATAACTCATTACTTAAAGTAATCCAAATCACTAAGTAAGGCAAATCAAGAATCCGGGAAACAAAGCGAAGGTAGTCAAATAAGAGATCCAAATAAACGTAAACGTGAGTAGTGGTTGCACGCGGGAAAGCAGTGAACGACTGGCGGGACCGAGCGAGGTTGAGGAGGGACGCGGTCAGTGTGGCACGGGGCGCGGGGTACGGCCTGGTAACAAAATGGAGCGCAAAGCAGGAATGTTTATCTGAGCCTTTGTTTAAAATTCCTTTGTGTGTTTGTGACTCAATGTGCTATCATTTAGTTTGAGTGAAATAAAAAAAAACATGTAGTTTGTAGTAAAATGATACCTTAATAAATGTCACGTTTTAACAATAAGTAGTTTTCTTTGCTAACCTGAAGCATTTACTATCTTAGTTTAGTCCTAGAAATGATAAAAAAGATTTTTTTAAATCAAATTAACTATTCAGGTAGTTTCCTGCCTGAGTAACTTTAGAAGTCTGTAACATAAAAACTGGCCTATTAAGTGTCATTTTTTTTAATGTTATTATGAAAGATTAAGGTACTGGCAAGTTTTTAAAATTAATTAGAAAGTATGAAATCATTTATTACTATTTTTCATTTAATGTTGAAAATTCAAGCCCCACTCTCCTGACAGAAAATTTTTAAGTTTCGATTAAAATTATTGTATCTTCGGTGAACGTTAGGAAGCTAATTATTTTATGCATGCAATAGGGCAACTCAAAAGAATCATGCTACAAACAAAAAAAACTTGGAAAAAATCTCACAATTACATTTTTTTTAATGTTAGGCTGTTTAGGGTGAACATTTTCAAAAAAAGGATAAAAAAATCATAACTCGAAAACTACAAAAAATCGCGGAACATACATAGGGTATTTTCGGATACCCCCAGGTGTGAGGAATCAAAAAAAAAATTATAACCTCACTGTTTGGACCACCCTGTATATCTTTCCTGGCGCATTCAAAAATCACCATATTTACAAATTATAAATGATTACACAAGGCATAATAATATTAGGCAATCACATTTTTTCCTTTTATATTATTTTTTATTTCGATTTTTTTATTTTTCAAATCGTTTCTTATCAAGATTTTCATTTAAAAATGTAATTTCTTCAACTTTGTAGAGCTTGAGACGACATCTTTTTTCGTTGATGATCAACCCCGTTTTAGAAAATAACCGTTCACAAGGTACAGACATTTCCATAATGTTGCACTTCTTGCAGAGAATTTCGGACAAATGTGGGTAAATTGTTCATTGGTCTCGCCACCACTTTGACGGACTGTTCCATTTTCCTTCAAACCTTTCTCGTGACAGTATCTCATTATCAATATTCATTTGAAATTCTCTTATAGCCCTCGCTAGAGCTTTGCATTGGGGCATACTTTTCTTCAGTATGTCATCAAATTTGTTCCATGCACTAACAACTGACGAACTTTTCTCTTCACTTCATGAGTTGTACTGTCTGTGAACTGGTTCCGTGTTATTATGCCTATTGTTAATGACTGCACATGTCGTTTTAAATTTGTCATTGCAAATTCATTTTTAAAGAGTAATAATTTAAAACGTGGGTCTAACAAAGTACAGAGCCCAAAAGTTTTACTGTGCTCTACGCAAACAAATCGTTCTTTCCGTCAATTTTTTAAAGAAATGACGATTTACTTTGTTGTAGAATTAAATAGCGCAACCTCTTTGTTTAAAAAATCATCACATATTCACATACTGTGAGACAGTTAGTCATGACTATCACCATACTTCCTGTCAGATATTCATCACCGCTGATAGATGAAGTGACTTCTTCCAAGGGCTGTAAGACTGTACATACTTCCCCCATTAACTCCCATTCCATTGTATTAATATTAGTGCAGTCTCTCAATGAGGGTCATGCAGTTTTTCAACGCCTCTTTTAGTAAAAGGAATCGGCGTAACATAAAATAATGTGGAGTTCCATGTTGTTGGCACTTGTTGAATTAAACGTTTCGGTTCACCACACTCCGTCATGTTTTTCAATTGATATCCAAGAAGCATATCAGTAGCAGTAGTGCTTCGTTTGTAGTGAGCCACAATTTTTTAATGTTTTCTACTAATAATTCTCTTGGCCTTATTTTTGCTTTTGCTTTTGTAATATTTAGAGCGTTATCTGAAATAGCGAAATCAACCTTTTTAACCAAATTCTACTCGTCAGTCACATTTTTTACGCTTCCGTTACATTAGCGCTAGTGTGGCTTTCATTAAAGCTTTTACATCTTAGCCGTTTTTTAGGGTTCAAAATTGTCGTCAATATATTGCGCTGTTACGCTAATATAACTTTCAGTCTGTGACGAGGTACAAAGGTCCTGTCATGGTTTTCTCAAACCATGGGGATGAGGGGTCCAGTTAAAACAAGAACAAATGTAAAAATGTGTAAGATATTTATAAGCAACACAAAATGCTACAAAGACAACAAAACAATTAACAATAGTTTTAAGCATAATCTACAATCATCTTAACACTAAACTAAGTAAGCACTTAATTTTTAACCAAATCTAAATCTACATCAACTGTAAAATAAAATTACAAACAACAAAACAACAATTTTCTACTAGTTCCTTTATTTTGTAAATAAGGCTTAAAGTATCATCACAAAAATAGACGAACCTCAAAAGATCTCAAAAAGAACCTCAAGAAAACAAATTTAAGTTGTTGTAGTCAAGGGGGGCTTGAACCATGAACTTGAGAAAGTCGCCCGATGCATAATGTAGCCAATCTACCGATAAGCTATGCTTGTCTCCTCGCGTTGGAAGCTTGTTGTTTCGCCCGGATGTTGATGGTTGTGGTTGATCGTCGTCAGAAGATCCATAAACAATATTATAAAAGCGTTTTCTTCGAAACCCTTTTTAAATCGGTGTATTCGATATCGTTTTCTTTTACACTGCTCAACGGCAAATCGTCATTCTCAATGAGAGTCTCTTTACAAGTTGTTTGAACACTTACTCCTGCATTCGGTTTCGGAGTTCGGAGCACAGAAACAGCTCAAGTTTCTGTACTTCAGTTATCCTCGAATTTTTGTGAATACTTGGTGTACTTCCTTTGTACCAAACAGTGGGAGAATGTCATGTGGGATGTCTTTCTCAATTTCCTCACTATCCTCTTTCTTAATATAAAATAATTTAATTTTACTTGTACCTTGAAGATTTTGATAAAACTCAAGTGCATTATTAAGGTCAGTTCCAGTTGCCACTTTAGCGTCTGCTGCTCTTTTTAGGTATCCCTCAATACCGTCAGCAGGGCCTTAACCATGGCTTGCCTCGAAAAACGATCAACTTTGAACTTCAGACATATTCAAAAATTTTTGTGCAAGCCCAATAGAAGTTACGTTTTTACATACATTTCTTTTGTGGGTTCAAAATTGACATAGTTTCCAGTACGAGTTGAACCTTTTTCGCTCTCTGCAGCAAGAAGTGTGCCGTTCACTGTTTCCACAGTTAACCGGTTTCGAATCTCTGTCTTTATTAGGGCATGGAATACCGGAATGATTTCCATACCGGTATTGAAATTTCAATAACTGGTATACCGAAATTTCGATATTATTTCGGTATTTTTTAAATGTTGCCAATAACTGTTTAAATGACTCCAATAACGATTGGTAAGTCTTGTTTATAGAAAGCGATTAAAGCAGTTTTCTAAGCTATATGGCAGAAATACTGAAACTATTTATCAACTCCCTAGAATTCACAAAATTAGTTATTAAAATAAAGGTAATTAACAATAAAAAAGATAACACGTTATTTGATCCAACAATTGTTTATATTGTTTCATTGGCACAAATATCACAATCGGTAATAAAATCAGTATTACTCTCTAATGATAAGAAAACATTTCAAATATCTCCCTTAGTCACAGCTTATAATACGAATATGAATTACTGTTAAAACAAAATCAAATTGCAAATGAAAGTATCGAAAGTAGTTATTCCAAAATAAATCAAAATGTAGGCGCAGGGTTAATTTAACTCAAGTAGTCAAATCCTTTAATCAAACAGATCGCGTTTGTTGAAAAATCGAACGAAGACACAACAAAGCGTCCAAACTGGCGTCGTTGAACGATGATCTTATTTTGTTACAAACGTAACTTGCAGCTGAAAAGGCCCTTTCTGATTCAACGCTCGTGGAAGGAATACTTCAGAGGTACTTGTAAGCTTCGTCCAAAAACCTGCCTCTAGTACCTCCATTTTCATACAATGTCATTTCCATTCGAATTAATGTTTAAATATTATCTTCTTTCTTCTTCACTGATCTGGGATATGTTTTGGTTTTTGATTTTTCTATTGCTTTATTAAGTTCTTTTTCCATCACAGACGAAGTACTGTTGCTAGTACCTGTATCATCATTACTTGTTTCCTTTTCAGCAGAAGCATAAGCGGCAGCAGGTGAGCTCATCGCACTCCTGTTTTGTAGAGAGTTGAGAATCTGTTCTTGTAATCGTTATAAGTTCAGTAATTGACGTAATCATTTAATCACAACTCATTCTAGCAAACTCTGGATGGTTATCTCTAGTAGTACTAGTTTCATTATATTCTGTGGTGGTTGCTTTTCTACATAATGCGTCCGACACTCCAAGATGTATCTATCTATCCCATGTGCCGGACAATTATGATGAAACGCTTCTATATTGCGACCGACTGCACATCACAATGGTACATTACGGTTAGTTAATGAATCAATAAGAGCTCTGTATAAAATCTCGGCATTGGCAGTAGGAATATCATCAGCATTAGGTGTTATCTTAAAAACTTTGTACAGCTCCCAAAATGCGCGCTACATATCTTTTGGGCTTCTGGATCAAAATAGCGCACAACAACGCAAGCAGTTTTGACCATAGAAACATTGGTCGTCTCGTCCGTCATCACCGAAAACTGATTTTTTTGTAATTTTTGGGCTAAATCTGCTTTATGACCGTCTCCAAGACGTTCTTTACCACACCTGTAATTTTGGTTCGTTTAAGTTCAGTTTCTAAATCTGTCAAATGGTCAGCAACCGAGAATCCTATATTGTGCTCCGCAAAAAAGCAGCAAGTTTAATTACTGCACGAGCTTTTTCTTTATTTTGTGGAGTATACCTCTTTGGAATCCAAGTGATGTTAATGTTGTGTTTTTCCACTGGATCCAGGTTTGTTGCCTAGGTGTTTCTTGGTAGAGGCATGAGTTTTTAAATTGGATTGTTCAGCTACCATTTGTTGTTCCCGGGCAATATGCACATTTAGGTTTTGCTAAATCATTGGTGTCTTTGGCAAAAGCCAGTCTTTAAAAGTCGGATCGTTTAACCATTGCTGTCTAAAATTTTGTACACGATGTTGCGATAATGTGTTACCTTTTTTTTGTTGTCCAACCAGGCGAACAGTCACTGTTTTCGTCGTTATCACTCATAATGATACTTCTATTACACCACTAAACAATAGACGAAACAACAAAAAGACTAGGTATTTAACGATAAAATCTTTTTTACAAAAACTTCAATTACTGTTTAATCAAATACTGTTTCTACTTCACTTAGTACACACGTTGTCTCCTCACTCATAAATACGCTTTCAAAATATTCCTTCCATCTCTTTAAACTCAAAACTTCATCTTTCAGAATATAGCCATTCTCGTCTCTTATAACATTCATCATAGGCTGTTTTGAATGTCCCCTGGCAGTTCTTACAAGTTTCCAGAACATTTTAATATTTGCCTGGAAGTTATCCGATATTCTTCTATCATTCTTATCCGTTCTTTCTTGCTTTTTCCTTTCAACTACTTCTTTAAAACCTTAATAAGAGAGTAAAACTCTCTTATTAAGACGTTTAAAGACTGCCTTTTTTCTTTCAATATCATCATTCGTACCGCTAGAATTAGCAGCCTTTGTTGCTAGTAAATCTAGCCATGCTCTCTTCTTTGCTTCAACTTCCATACGTATCTCATCATCCCACCATAACGTATTATTTTTCCTTTCATTCTTCCTCTTACTAACACCACGATACTTCGGTAGCTGCATCCACTAAACCTTTCTTTACATTTTGCCATACATTCTCCAAGTCTAACTCCTTCATACATAATTCATCCAAACCACTTATATTTTCTTTCCGTCTACATTTGAACTTATTTCTCTCACCTTCATTTTGTAACCTTTCTGTTCTAATACGCTGTAACGCAGTGGTAGACACAGATGATCGATGGCGCCAACGCCTGAATAGACCATTAATTCGGCATAAAACCAAATAATGATCCGTTTCTACGTTAGAACCCCGGTAAACCCTTGTATCTACCACTGCGCCCCTCAATCTTTCATCCACAATTATGAAATCTATCATGCTTCTATCATCACCTCTTTCCCAAGTATACATGTGAATCCTCTTGTGGCGAAAGCAAGTGTTCGTCACAAAAAGATTCTTTTCCATACATACGGTGAGGAGACTTTCACCATTCTCATTTATACTTCATCACCAAACGTTCCCAATATCCTTTCATAACCAAGGCTCCTCACCTCAACCCTTCCATTAAAATCTCCTAGCATAATAATATTTTCATTAACACCATCCTTACCATTTCCCAAAACTGCTCTCGGATATAAGTGGGCTTAGACATGTCTGGGGCGTAGACCCCTAACACAAACAACTTCTTTAATCCCACTTTCATTCGTATATCCATAGCAGTCTTGGGCTTACACATTCATACTCTTTCACACATTGGCCCATTCTTTCTGAAAGGATGATACCTACCCCCCTGGCATGCCCGCTCGATCTCGTCTACACCAGACCAGTGTGTGGTATACATGCCATGTGTAGTTATGACATCCTTCCCCTTCCTTTTCGTCTCATTTACACATAACAAATCTATTCCTCTATCATACATCATATCGCATACTTCATCCATTTTATCATTCTATAAATTTTTCAATTGATGGATGTGTAAGCCCAACTTTTAACAAATTATCGTGATATTTTATAAACCATCGTGAATAATTAGGTTGATTTGTCATAAAAACATACTTGCTATTTTTGACAAAATATATTTGTACAAAGAAAAGTTTCCAGTCCTTATGCTTTGACTCAGTAACTGATAGCAATGAACAAGATCCATGTAAGTAACATAAAATTGAGGCGTTTTCCCGAAAGTTCCTTTTCTACATTCTTATTTGTGATATTGGTATCGAGCCATCAATGTTGATATTGCTTCATTTACTATGACATTCACAAACGGTTCATTACCATCGATAAATGTAGAGAGATTATTGTAAACATCTTCATTAATACTTATATCTTCTTTTTCAATGAAACATTGGAAACATAATATTTCTAGTCCTGGTGCCATTAATGGATGCAGTCGCTTACATCGATTAAAATGCTTTCCTTTCAAAAATCCATCTATCGAACCATTTGCGATAATTTCACTTTCAACAGCTATATTCATTATTCCACAGTCGTCAATAAATTTTCCAATTCCTCTAAACAATGCTAACATTATGTGGAACGACATTAAATGTATAAATAAATTATCATACACTGGTTTTTCTGTAGACTGTACTTGCATAGCAATCTATGCAATAGCTATGTAAATCATACGTTACATTAATGCAAGGTTGTCTAATTTCTGCAGCAATACTTTGACTTTGTTTCATAGTTTCTATTACAACTGGTATATTTGTCGGTGATTCGTTGATTGGTGTGAGATAACAATTTTTTTTTGTTATTATGAGAATCTTTGTTTAAATTACATTGAAACCCAACCCACCCTGCATGGCAAAGCATCCACAGAAAGTTTTGCTGATAAATTATTATTTGGAGTGAAGCTAGTGTTATTTCGTTCCTCAAATTGTCGGATAAAGACAATAATTCATCATTCATCTTTTTTTTTGAATATGGCTGTAACATAGAGAATATAACCACTAGAGAGCGTATAGGCAGATTTCTTCTAAGCACACGGCTCACTACTGCGGGCCGAGGGACGAGGAAGAACGCGTGGCTGCAAATGGTAAAGTTGCGTTGTTATGGCTATATGGCTATCGTTAGGGTTGCTCTTCTCAATAAAAGAAAATATTCGATATCGATAAAATGGATTTTATCATTATGAAAAATACTCAATTAAAATCATAGAAATAATATTTAATGAAAATCAATCAGTTACAACGAAAACATGTATTTATTATATTATTATTGATTTTTAAAATGAATTAATTTGTTATATTTATTTCGAATTAAAGTTTAAGGGTCCTGATTGTTCTTTGTAAAAAAATATAAACAAGCGTCTACATATTTGTAAATTATGCATCTTGCTAATTCAATCAAATTATTTATTGATTCTATTTCAAATTGATGAAAATAAATCCGGGAATCAATAATACCTAATAAGAGATTTTAAAACCGATCTTATAAAATAATTGGTATTACATTTCGAAGATAGCACTTTTGAACTACTCTCATTGATCGCCCTCTTAATAAAAATTTTACAACGACGACAAATATTTATTACTGTAGTGGATCCGTACAATAACTTGTCTTTAGTGTCCTTTTGAAACTGTAAGGCGTTCTGATTTGGTACACCAATCTAACTAATTTAACTAGGTAACTATAAACTTTAACTAGGAAAAAATACCGACGAACTGAGAACCTCCTCTTTTTTTCTGAAGACGGTTAAAAGTAGGTAAGTTTTTTTCACAGTGTGTGAATTGAATAATCTTTATTAATTTAAATTTATTATTTTCGATATCGACTTTCAGCTATTAAAGGTAACAGTAAGTACTAATGTTTACGATAAACATACAAAGGGAAAGAAAGGAATAGAAGCATTAGAATTGTCTAATAATAGAACGAGACTTTTCCAAAATACATTAACGCGCGACTTAACTTTGTCGTCATTTACCCGTCCACCGTTTTAGATAGACCCCTGCGGTGGGTCATAATCTGAGTTAATCAACAATAATTTTCGTATTTTTTACTTAGCAATGAAAAGTTACTCCATTCTTTTTGGACATCTGTCCTGGAATGTTTCCCACACCACTTCACCGCGCATGAAGGCATTTTGATGCATTATAATTGCATAAAAGTTATAAAAATTTGCATTAATTTAGCGTGCACACAGGTCTAACTTTTGGACAATACTAATATGGTTAATAGTACCATAGCCGATGCATAGGCGACAAAATACTAATAGTTTTCGAGCGTCGGGGCACTGTATGCGCAGTCAAGTGGTTATATAGTCCTTGGGTTGTAACTCTGGGATGATAGCATCAAAAGTCCTTTTTCTTTTATGTCCTGAATAAACGCATGGAACAGATGGCTCGCCTGTGCATTCACTATCTTCAGAACGATTTTGGAGTTGCTCAGAAGTTCCCTCTGTTGATTCCTCATTTTTTTAGAACTATTTGATAGATGATTCCTACTGTATCGTGTAAGGTATCTTTACCAGTAGCAGTATTAACATATCTATCGAAGTTATCGAAGGCTACTCCTGTAAATAAATCTTGTCTTTTACATTTTTCATTTGGACAAATTTTGGAGTGATTCGATAACGTAGTTGTTGCTGGAGTTTCCAATTCATCAATAACATGATTAACTGCAACAATAACCAACTTTATTTATAATTACTACGATTTTTCTGCTGCTTGTCAAACTTTTCAATGTCATGCCCAGAGTGTGTGTGATGTGCTTTTTGGTTTTGATAAACTTATTAGTGACATTATAAATCAAATCTTCTGCCAGTGAATTAGTTTTCCTTATACAACCTTCATTAAGTCTACGACGACGTTTATGACCACCCAAGAGAAAACAATAAAAATCGAATAAGTGGTTAGGTACGAGTATTTCACATTCGCCAGTTAATAATAAATCAGCAGTTGTTATGTTTTCCGGTAATTCTTTTTTCGTAATTTTTAAAATAGTTTTTCGTAAAATTGATGCTGCTTTTTGCAATATCTCCGCATCGTCTAACAGTTCACATATTTTTGCATCAACAACAGAATCCTTCAATTTTTTTTCTGTCCCTCTTGATAATTTTAATTTCATCGAAACTCTGTAACAATTTAGCTTCAAACCGCTGGATACTAAAATTGATATCAACATCTTCATCATTTTCTTCAAGCATTCGTTGTTATAATTCAAAGTAATATTTACATGGGTATGTAAATGAAAATGTCCTTTTTTATTTATTATTTCCTCACTGATGAAAATTTGCATTTCATCAAAAGCCAGTTTGTGAAAATATTTCCAAGTCTTCTTCTGCGGTGATTTTATTTTCACTTTTTCTTGTAAAGTGTATATGGAAATTATTCGACAACTATTATGATAAAAGATAATTGGCAAAAATTCCATTCAAAAGCAATAAAAAAATTAGTGATTTATAATGTCACTAATGGGTTTATTAAAAATAAGATTTAAATTACTATCAACCTGTCTATTTTTATATATGATCACTATAGATATTTTTTTTTTCATCACGCGGGCTTAAAGTTCTGGCAGGTGGCAGGGGGACAATGTGTTGTTACAGTACGAAATAGACTTCAACGTCGATTGGACAACCGTTAAAATACAAAAAAAAAATACGTGAACAATATGTTCTCTTTCCTCACCTAATTAATTATTAATGTATTATATAGTTAATATTGTTTTTATTTGAGTAATAAATATTTATTTTGGAGAACGTTTTATTTTGTTTGGAGTCGTGATAAAGTAGGAAAAGTTGATCGACCCACATATTGAAAGTCACTCCTGTGTTAAATTTACCTACCACTGGTTTAGTAAAGTCCTGGGAATAACCAACAAGTAACCCAGTGGGACATTTATTTCAAATATTAATTTACAATATAATATTGTTATAAGCTTAGGGTTCGTGACAATAAAAACTGCCGATTGAATTACCAAAAGTGACACTTTAATTACTAAACACCAATTAAAACTTAAAACACACTAATTAATCACACTGATCACTTTAGTTCACTTTATTTCGCCCCGAATCTTCGCTTGTATTGTCAATTCAATACTCGGTAGCGTCCCATACTGGCCTTATATAGGACCTTTTCTACTGAAAATATCTACATAGAATGTTCGAGTAGAATGACGAAAGATCTAACAAGGAATTTCCTAGAAAGCTCTCCTAGTTCTGCTACTCCATACTAGATGGCGCTAGGGAAGTTTCTAGAAAGATCTTGACGCTCCTATTTCTGCTACTCGATTCTAGATGGCGCTAATAATAGCCCGCCATGTACCAGGCATCAACTATGGCGCGCAACAATATGTTTGAAAATATTTAGAAACAGATCACCTCATTTCCAAGGGTTATTATTAATTAGGTATTCTTTAATAGTGTAACAACCCTTTTTAACTTTTGTTTTAAGTTTTTTTTCTTTTCACGCACGTTTGCAAACACGCATGCTCGCCCGACCGCACATCCGCCCCCACTTCGTCCTATGGGTATGATGGTCTTCAAAAAAGAGGGATCTTGTCACCTATGTGATGACCATACCCGTCAGTGTACTAATAGTGAAGTATATTATATAACTTATCATGGTTCTGGGAAACCGAAATCTAATGTTCAGTTGTACTTATAATTACAGTGGTAGGGGCTTTAATCAAAATCAGTGTACCTATGTTGCAGTGTGATAAGGTCTTCGCGACGGAGAAGGCGTGTCTTATTCATCAACGGGTGCACACGCAGCCCCGTATCCGGGACAAGCCCAACGAGAAGAAGCCGGTGAAACGGTATTACACCGCTAAGAACATAGTTTGTGAAGTGTGCGGCAAGAGATATGCAGTAAGTAGGGCGACAAGTTTTTTTTATTTTTTTTATATAAAATAGAACCTGATCGTAAGTTTCTACAGCAATCCTGACATCTGCGACACATGAGTAGATAAACGGTACAGAGAAAAAGCTTCTTAAAAATGTGCAAAATTGTTACCTGTTTTGGTAGGGTTGTCACAATATTTATATACGTGGTAGAGCCATGCTGCAGTTATATTAGTAGTATAGTTGTAGCACGAATGGGTCGGCTCGACCGGGGAAGAACCACGCTCTCACAAAATACTAGCGTAAAATAGTAGCTTAATGCTGCTGTGTTTCATATAGTGAGTGTAAAGAACCGGATACCTTTTACTTGAAATGAGACATTCCATCGTAGTCGTCACGGGTGACAACGCATCTGCGTTTTGATTTGTAATCGAGGATAGATGTAGATGTCTATGGGCCGTAGCAACCACTTACTATCAGGTGGACTGTGTGCTCGTATGTCACCCTATCCTATAAAAAAAATAGATGAAAACAAATTAAACAGAACAAATTTAACACAGATACCTACTACATACCAACCCACCCACATACCTAAACTAAACTGCTAGTACTTACGCAGACAGAGTTCTACGAAAAATGAGTCTACCACTTAGTAAGACCTCTCAGAGCCTAAGCTTGAAGCACAATTGCTACACGAACTAGTTGAAATGTCGATATTAAAATAAGCGCTATAAAATTCGTAAATTTAAGTGGTTATAACCTTAGTAAACTGGTCCTTAACAACAAATCATGGTTAAGTTTAGAAGTATTAGATTAAAAGAGACACCTAGCATTATGTTTTACATACATTAACATTATGATTTATACGTGGTACAGCCACGCTGCAGCTATATTATGGTTGTAGCATGAATGGGTCGGCTCGACCGGGGAAGGAACAACCCTCTCACAGAATACCAGCGTAAATAGCAGCTTGATATTGCTGTGTTTCGTATGGTGAGTGTAGAGATCTGGAGACCCCTTTTTACTAGAAACAAGGCATTCCATCTCAGTCCTCAGGGGTGACAACGTATCTTCGTTTTGATTCTTAATCGAGGATAAATGTAGATGCATGTATAAAATAAAAATATAAAAAATATGCGTATACTTACTTTGTTTTAACTTGCAAACTTATTATTGTGTATTAATAAACGTTTTTATTATTTATTATTATTAATAATGACTTGTTTGTTTTCAGTCCAATGCAGCACTTCGTTACCACCAGCGAGTCCACACTGGAGAGAGGCCATATGAATGTACCCAGTGCCACAAGACATTCACCATGCCTCTGTTTCTACAGGTAAATTTAAACGTTAACATTTAATCATTCTATCCATCCATAAATCCGTTCCATTTCTATTACAGCTTATAGATTGCCTCGTAGGGGGAAATTTGCCATAGTTACTATGCATGGCAGGCAAGTTAGCTTGCTGTTTTTTTTATAGTTTTAAGTTGATACTTAAACTAATGACTCTGAAAGATCGCAGAGAACAAGGAGACTTAATCGGGACATACAAGATTATACATGGAAACTATTATCTGGAAAATTTTGACAAATTGTTATTCCAGTACTCAAATAACATGCATTTCAAATAGGCCATATAAGGAATATATCGAAATGCATTTCTTTATTATACACCACAAGTTGTGGTGGGCACATTCTCTATATAAAAAGAAATTGTCTTTTTTTTTGTTACATATTGGTACTAAGTATATTTTTATAGATTTTATTGTAAAATTTTATACATTTAATCAGATTAACTTTTAGAAACCTCTAATATATCACGGCCCCGGGGTACAGTGGCTTAGCATTCAATTGCGGTGCTGAGGGCCGTGGGTTCGAATCCCGCACGGCACAAGTATTTGTATGACATACAAATAATTGCTCCGGGTGTGGGTGTTTCTCCATGCGCAATTTATGATTGTAAACTGCTTACACAATACATTAGAAAAACCTAATGTAGGGAGAAGGGTTTGTTTTAAATATAATATTCTGACAACTTAAATCTTTCAGATCCACATTCGAACTCACACCGGTGAAAGGCCCTACGAGTGTCCTCATTGTCCTAAAGCATTTAGCAACAAAGCGGCTTTACTAAGGCATGATCGAGTGAGTATGAAATATATCTTTTACTTTAAAATGGGTGAAGTAGCATATACAGGGTAAACTTCATGTGACGTCGCTCGATTTTACGGCAAACTTGGTTGGTTTAGCTTGTCTTCCATACAATGATACACTCTATATAGCATTACACGCACACTAAATAACGACAACAGATAATAAAAAGTACTTTTTAAGTTTGAAGCGACAAAAGAACATTCTTGTGTTCTTTTCGTTGTCGCTTTATTATCCTAGGCCGTAATAAACTCGACTGTCGGCGTCATACAAACCAAACTCTATAAGAAATCCGTTGTTTTGTTTACAAATTGGGATTGCTTGCACGTGTAGACTGTAGTTAGTAGGTGTCATGGATTATATCTATACGTTGTCATATTCTTAGTTGCTCACAGAGAATAGCGTGCTTATGTATCTACTAACACTGGTCTGAAATATACTTTCCTTTTCTAATACAGATTTTTCTTGGTTCCATTTAATGGCATTTCTTTATAACGTCAAAATATACACAGTCCATTGAGTGTCGTTATATAGAGCATAGGTACACTGTATTTTAATTTAAATACAATAAAACAAATATTAATTTTAAAATCATAATAAAATATTGAAAACTAGACTTCGCACAGGTGATTTCTATTCTCTGATATTGACGACAGCGCCACCTACCGGCTGCAATTGTGAATCTAAACCATCCAGGCACCCAACCAAACACATAAAAAATATCTTCAAAATCAGTCGAGCCATTTTCGAGTTTTAGTAAGGTTAACGGACAGAAATTGATTTTTGTATATAAGAGATTAACACATGTTACAATAAGCCAAATCGATGCTTCTCTTACCTATTGCTTTTGCTAAATAGCAGTGCTGGTACTGCCTTTTTCCAGTCTGAAGGGTGTAGAGAGTCAGTATAGTTACTGACAGTCATGCTTTCTTGGTCCTCGGAGGTGACTTTTGTACATGGTAGAGTTACGTTGCAGCTATATTATATCTGTGGCACGAAGGGGTCGGCTCGGCCGGGGTAGGACCAAGATCTCGAGACCGTTTTTAATGTCAACAAAGTGTAAGGGTGACAATGCATCTACATTTTCAAAAATGCAATAATAAAACATTCTACAAGTATGTAGTACGATTCTATTTCTACCTTATAGTCCTTTTGGGTAGGTACAAGGGATAGCTAATAAGTGTTATAAGGCTAGTAAGTAACGCGGCCTAAGGTACTTAATAAAAGAAAATATATGGTTTCTATTTTTTATTTTTCAATATAATCTCCCTCAAGTGAAATACATTTCTCACATCTCGCCAATGACATCTCTTCAAAAAAATTCTTCAAATGTCTTCCGATGTATCACCATGCCACCACCATAACCACCATCAACCACACCACCACAACCACCACCACCATCACCACCATCACAATCATTATTATTATCATTTTCACAGCTGTTCATGGACCTCCAAGGAATGGAATAAAGCACAACCCTAAGTTTTTTTTAAGAATTAGGGTGACAAACGAGCACACAGTCCACCTGATGGTAAGTGGATGCTGTGGCTCATAGACATCTACATTTAACCTCGATTAAGAATAATTTTGATTCTTAATCGAGGTTAAATGTAGTTGTGATGTCACCCCTGAGGACTAAGATAAAATGCCTCGATTTCAGTAAAAAGGGTATCCGGATCTCTACACTCGCCATACGAAACACAGCAGCATTAAGCTACTATTTTACGCTGGTATTCTGTGAGAGCGTGGTCATACCCCGATCGAGCTGAGCCCTTCGTGCTTCAACCATAATATAAGTTGCAGCACGGATCTACCACATATAATTTGTATCCATCGACTTCCTGAATATCTTACCAGGTTGTCATTTTAGCTTTACATATCACACATTAATATGATTATCTTGATCCAGGTGCACACTGGAGTAAAACCGTACGCCTGCCCACAGTGTGGTAAAACCTTCACGCAATCGAACTCCATGAAGCTTCATGTCAAAACTGTTCACCTAAAGATGCCCGCTCCCTACAAGAGCAAGAATAGAAAGAACAAGTCCCGAGGTATTTATATTTTTGGTTTTTATTTGCATTAAGTTAATTGTTGTCAATCGTGACATCCTGGTGTCGAATCCCGGGTTGGCCCAAAAACAATTCTTGGTTTTATTATAGATAAGATAAAGATATTATAGAAATGAGCGAACTACCTTCTTACTCTAAATAATATTAAAATATTTGCGCTTGAAAGACGGCGAACTGCAGTGTGCAGAAAAATCTTATATAGGTTTATGTTGCACTGTATTTATGAACTTTGTTTAGAATGGGGTTGGTTTTTTTGGGGTTTGTACTAATTATTTTTTAAATAAAAACTTTTTTTTTTTTTTTTTTTAAAAAATAAGGTTTTTCCCGTGGTTGGAAACTATTTGCGCTTGGTTGAGTATTTTAGTTGTTGTAAAAAATAAAAAAATAAAAAAAAATTTGTCAAGAAATTCTCAGTTACAGTTCAGAGTTCAGGAAGTTGGTGGTGTTTCACCGCCTGCAAAACCCAATTACTGAGTAACTCAACTGAGTAATAGTTTACAAATCCCAATATTGCCACCTGTCTTACCTGGTCATGTTACACTTATCTTAATCTTCATCAGCCCAGGCCTAGGCCTTTCCCATTGTTGAAAAATTTGTCTTAATTTTCACGTTTAGCAGGGGTATTGATGACTGCGTTTCAGATGTGAGCACCTTTCACCGCTGCTACCCATTGCCAGGTTGGTATTTACCGTCTGATAGTTGTACTGACTTGTATGGGAATTCATAAAAATCTTTATGGTATTTCCCATGATCGTCTCTTACAATACCCATGCTACGAAAATGTGTGATAGATTCACACAGCATTACTCATAAATTTTTAATTTTTTTTTAACTCTTATAGAATTGGATGACATATGAGCACACAGTCCACGTGTTGGTAAGTGGATGCTGTAGACATCTACATATTTATCCTCGATTAAGAATCAAAATGCAGGTGCGTTGTCACCCGTGAGGACTAAGATGGAACGCCTCGTTTCCAGTAAAAAGGGTCTCCGGTTCTTTACACGCACCATACGAAACAGGGTTTTTGGGGTTTGGGGGGGGGCCAACCTAACTATAATATAGTTGCAGCATGGCTCTACCACGTAAGTTCTTTAAAAAACATTACCCCTCTCTAGGATTATTTCATGTATCAAGGAGCCAGTTTACATCCAGAATCAGAATAAATATTTGTAGGCCAAACAAATACCTGTTCCGTGTGGGATTCGAACCCGCGCTCTAAGTGCCGCTACTCATAGTTAAACCACTACAGCCAAAACCGTTAACTCTACATTTACACTATCAGTTGTTTTTTCTTATCTTATAATGATGGGTAGAGCTTATACTTCTATGAATCATTTTCTATAGTTTCTATGTTATTCAAAATTCTAATTTTTATATTCCAGGCATGAAAGTCGAGGTCCAAGTAGAGTCTGGCGTCTACCAACCAGAAATTAAACCGGAAGTTATGGATGAATATGAAGGAACAGATGTCTTGGTCCAAGAGGATAATTACGGGCAAGCCCAAATCTTCTCCCAAGATGGGGAAATCTATGAAGCGGTGTACGAAGATGTTGAGGATGAAGATTTCTATCATGAGGAAGTTGTAGATAATCCCGAAGTGACACTGTACGAAGCTGAGAAGCCCGAAGTGCTTTACGAGGAAGTGTATGAAGAAGCTTAGAATAAAGTGAAGTGATAGTGTATATAATTGTGATGTGTTTTTACAATGTGTTCATTGTTCTTGGACTACATGTACCCCTTGCACATGGGTTTGTGTATAGTTGGTATAATATAGAATGTTGCATGTGATGTAACTTGTGTTTACAATTGTATGTATTAAAATATATGGGGTTATTTTTCAAAGAGTAGCTAAATTTTCAGCTTTGGTTCAAATATATAAATACAAGTAAATAAGGTTTCCACTTTTATTAGAAATTATCCCAGATTGAATGTGATTTATGGGCAACAATGTTTTTGCTTACTGATCGACTCTTATGAATGTTTGCATGCGCAGTAAAATCAGTTAAAATAGTGTATTATCACGCATTTTGAATTTAAACGAACAGAATGTTTGAGATTTTTTTTTATTAATTTTTTTCACCATTTGCCTATATTACTTATTCTGAACCTTGTCTGCAAATTTGGCCAGTTATTACAAAATAACCCTGTATATATTTTTAAGGAGCGCTAGAAATGTCCACTCTTGTTACATTAGCCTGTAAAAGTTCCCACAAGTGGAATGCTAGGCGGGCAGTTTGACAGTCACAATATCAAACGTTTCATGCTTTGAAGCTAGTCTATGTCGTCGATCTGTAACATTTAGGGTCGATAACCAAGGGTAATCAAGTTCACATTAGTTTATTTCAGTTTACGACGAGATATTTTCCGCAACTCCACTTCTAAGCACGTATTTAGCGTGTGGGCAGGAATATTACGATTATTCGAGACTTGGAATCTCCTCGAAGAAGTTCAACAGTATTTTGATGTTGCAAGCAACTTTAGGGAGTGATCCCGGCATGCTGAGATGTTTAGCGCAGTGTGCAGCGACTTGTGTATATGTCAGCAACACTAGGGCCGCCGTTACCTTCTCTCCCAAACATGTCCCGCACAGGGGACTTTGACACCCCAATAACCGTGTAATGTAATAGAAGTTGTTGCTATCCTGATCAGGGCTTGTTCAATCTCATTATGACCTTAGTTAAACAACTTTATTGCTGGCAGGGCCTCCCCAGTTTGCCTAGTCTTCTAGATTTTTTCCAAAGCCGAGTGTGTTGATTAGTGATGTGTTTAAATCACATCACATTCACATTCTACAATTGTTAGCAGTATTATGTACGACGATAATTATAAATTTATCAATATCGGAGTTTTATATATAAGTTTATTTATCGATATATCCTAAAATCCGATATTTTAAAAAATATCAACAGTCCTAGTTTGAACTGATCAGTTGGAATGATCAGTTGAACTGACCGTCTCTGTTGTCCATTAGAAAGCTATAAAATTGTATGAAATCAACAATGTCTTCAAAAACTTTAACATTCAGATATGTGATACCGACAACAACCAACAGGTTCTATATTATGTTACCGTTACAGCTTATTGAAGGCCACTGCTGAACGTAGACCTCCCCCATAGATTGCCTTATAGGGGCGATGTATGCCATAGTTGCCACGTTTGGTAACTGCAGTTTCTTAGTTTTACTCTTACAACACCCATGGGATGATAAGGGGACTAGTATGTAGTAAATTCTATATTCATTATGTATGTTTTATATATATTCACCAATTTCTCAAATGGCTGAACTGATTTGAATGATTCTTTATTTATTAAATAGACTTTTATACGTAGTAGAGCCATGCTACAGTTATATTAGTAGTGTAGTTGTAGCACGAATGGGTCGGCTCGACCGGGGCAGTACCACCACCAGGGTGCTGTTTCTGAGTGTAGAGAACCGGAGAACCTTTTTACTGGAAATGAGGCGTTCCATCTTAGTTCTCACGAGTGACAACGCATTTGCATTTTGATTCCTAATCGAGGATAGATGTAGATGTCTATGGGCCTCAGCACCCACTTACCATCAGGTGGACTGTGTGCTCGTTTGTCACCCTTATCCTATAAAAAAAAGACTATCCTTCAGGGGTTGTCCCATATAAACTTGAAGAAAGAATTCTATCCTTAAGGATGGAAAATAGGGATGATGGTCTTAATATGAACTGGAGATATTCTTTAGACCACTCAAAATGTAGAATTATTTCAAATACATTTATTTATTTGTGTATACAGTGACTTAAGTGTTAGTAAGTATTGTGTATTCTACCACAGTGTGGTGTACAATAAAAATTAATATATATTAAAACTTAATTAAAAGTAAAAAACAACTTCACACTCTAAAAATATTAAAATATTTTCCATTTATTAGCGTCTTTCGTTAGGATTTTAATCCTTCAATAAACTATTACTTAGCGCCGTTTTCAAGATTACATGGAAATTTGCTCTTAGAAGGTGAAGCAAGAGTGGTTGGGCTTTAATCATTATAATAAAAAAAAAATCTATTTGACCATCGATATATATGTACTACGCACTAGATATGGCATTCCGAACACTCACTATGTTCAACTGAACTGTACTGCAATCCGTACACCTGTTATTGTGGCTTCGATATTCATGCAGTGCGGAGCGGCGCTGATAATAATTTTATATTAAATTAGCACATATGCAATTTAAACGAAAATTAAAAAAAAAGTAGGTACTCGATACAATCTAAATAAACAATTATTTATTATGACAATTTTCGTGCGCTTATATCGACTTCGCATGCGCGACTCTACTGTTTCCCGCGCATGCAGATACAGAGTAGTGCACATTTTTTGTTTGGAATAGCTTCTCTACGTGGTACATATAACTCAATGGATTTGACAAGATGTTTTCTATTAGACGTAACATTTTTTTTATAGAAAATTAGTGATAAATGAGCACACAGTCCACCTACTCTTAGACATCTGCATTTATCTTCAAATAGAAATTAAAATGCAGATGCATTGTCATTTGTCAACCTTGAGGACCAACATTAAATTCCTTGTTTCCAATAAAAGAGGTCTCCGGTTCTCTACACTCACCCTACGAAACTCAGCAGCCTTAAGCTGCTATTTTACGCTGGTATTTTACGAGAGCTCGTCCTAGCCCAGTCGAGTTGACTTATTCTTGCTACGACCATAATATAACTATAAAAAAATCAGCCATTAAATTATGATTTATATCGCTTGATTTTGATAAAAAAAATCGTTGATTTAAATCAACATGTATAAATTAATGTAATAGGCAGAAAATGCATAAATTATATAAAACATAAAAGGACACTTGTTTGCGTAAATATCTGATCTCCGAAACAAAAATTTATTTTTTACTATTGTAAATTTTAAAAAGAGTGCTAGCTTTTGCGTTCCCTAATTCATTTTGTAACTTGACTGAACTAAACCAAAAGTTGAAAAGATTTTTTCAACTGACACTGAAGATGCTGTAGCTGTAAACAAGCTGAAACTGCTATAATTAAGACATTGTTTCCATTCAATCCATCATACTTTTTTTTATAATTGATAACCACCATTTCATTGGCCTTACAATATTTAAAAATCTCTTTGGTGAACATGAACTCTGTGAAAGACTCAGACCTGACTTATTTAATTTTAATTTTTTTTTATAGAATAGGGTGACAAATGAGCACACAGTCCACCTGATGGTAAGTGGTTGGTGCGGCCCATAGACATCTACATCTATCCTCGATTAAAAATCAAAATGCAGATGCGTTGTCACCCGTGAGGACTAAGATGGAATGCCTCGTTTCCAGTAAAAAGGGTCTCCGGTTCTCTACAGTCACCATACGAACACAGCAGTATTAAGCTACTATTTTACGCTGGTATTCTGTGAGAGCGTGGTCCTTCCCCGGTCGAGCCGAGCCATTCGTGCTACAACTATACTACTAATATAACTGCAGCATGGCTCTACCACGTATAATTATTTAATTATTAATGGTACCAATATTTTGGTAAAATTCTAAGGCAAAGTCCATGGCTGAATGAAACACATTCTTCAGTTGTCAATTCGTGGTTATTTTTTGTTGGATTTATTAGGAAAGCCAACAAATGTGCTGGAGCGATTGCTTGATTTTTTGTCATTTTTAAAGCATTAATCTATTCTGCAGAAGCCCCGTTACTTTTAAATGTGGCCTCTAATTCTTTAAAGCACTGAACTGTGGCACTGAGTGTTGCGTGGCTTGCTTGGAGCCTATCGAGTGCAACTGATATCGGTTTTGATATTTTCAACATATCTTCTGTCGATCTTTTGATTATTATCTTACTCAATGTTTCCGTAACGACTCTGTCAAGTTCTCTTCGTTTAAAGTTACAGCCTATATATGTCCCACTGCTGGGCACAGGCCTCCTCTCATTTCTGAGAGGGTTGTAGGGCAAGGAAGTGTCCGCCGCATTGCCCCAATGCGTGTTGGCGAATTTCACATGTCTTCGAATGTTTTTTTTTATTTCTTATTCTTCAGACATGCTGGTTTCCTCACGATGTTTTCCTTCACCGCCGAACACGTGGTAAATCAGCACTTAAAATTGCATTTAACAATTTCATTGGTACCGGCGGGGATCGAACCCGGGTTACTCGCGTTAGCGTTAACCACTCGAGCTACCACGGCTCTCTTTGTTTCCTTCACAGATTTTTATCAACTTAGGCCATGCTGCAAGATAACTTTCCAAGCAGTCAGTAAATGTGTTCCAACATACATCTTGGGAAAGTATCAGCTGTTTTTCCTGCTCTTTCTTGAATTTAACATTTGCAAAATAGTTATTGCTAAAATATTTCAAGACATGAACTACTTGTTCCTTGAATTCACGCACAGCAAATCTTTAGATAGCAAATTTAATATATGTGCTGTACGGCCATAGGTAAAGATGGTAATATCGAAGTGCTGATTTAGGTTTAGGTTATCGCGAAATATTCCCAATATTAGAGGCGTTGTCTGTGACAAGGGTGACCTGGCATTCACGGTCATTTTTGCACTTTTTGACTAGATTTGATGCTAGGTAAGTCTTTCAGGTAATCTGCTGTGTGTGGACTACCTGAAGTGTCTACACTTTCAGGTATACTTCTCCGGTGTTTGTAGTCAAAGATACACAA